ATGTCGATTTGACAAATCATATGAACGAACTGAATTTGAGATTGCAAGGAGAAAATCAGCTTCTCCCTGATTTATACACCAATATCAAATCCTTCAGGCAGAAAATAATACTATTTCAATCGCAATTACGTAAAAAATGTTTCACATATTTTGAAACATGTGAAATATTCAGCCACACTTCTGGGATCACCCACGTAGTAATAGATGAAGTGACAAAAAAGTTCTAACATTTAAGCATCCGTCAATTCTATCGTTGCTGAGAAGGTTTTTTTTCAAAAAAGACAAAACGTCCATTCCGTTAAAACTTTCAGCGAGAAATGAATAGTTCTTCAATTTGAAATAACTTCTCGCTCATCCCTCGTAAATGAACTGTCAGTGTAATAAAATATTCGAAAGTGCATGTATCAGGTTGGTGTTCAAACGTCCGATCGGATTTGTATTCGGAGGCAAAAACTGGTTCTGGGATCACAGACGGTAATTAAATTTAATATTCGCAAATCTAATGATCAACGATCTAACGGGAAATTACACTAGATGTTGACCATTCGACTGGGGGATATTTACGGGATTATAAAAGCGTCAATCACGCCAAGATAATTACTTACTTATTTGCTCGATAACAATGGTAAACAAATGTATGTATTCTTTGATGCACATCAACACTGAAATGGTTCAGATCCCAAAAAATATGGTTAATCAATGGAATATGTGGCAGCAGCTTTTTCTCTGTAATGAACTGGTTGGCAAATTACCAAAGCACAAAGGTGTTCCACTTTTCAAAAAAGGATGGGTTGATCTACATGAATCTCATCGATGCTACTCAGCTGTATTACAAATGCATCTCAACTGTAGATCAAGTGTCTTGTCATCTAGGTTAATCCAGGCAATTGTTAAGTAATTTTTTATTTAAAGTTCTGCATTTGAATGCTTCCAAAAAAAATCGAAATCAACTTTTTCATGGTTTGCCAAAATACTCGCCTAGTTTGAGGCAGCTTAAATATCTACTGAAAAATGAGGCTGTTATTTTTCTGTCTCTTGTAACTGCTGCTTCATTTGTCTACAAAGAGGAGGTTAACAATCGTAGGAAAATATTTTGCCATGTTTTTTCTCACTGATTAAATAATATAAGCAGTCCTACTACAGTTTTAGGAAACAAAGAAATCCATTCACCAACAAATAATTTAATTAGAAATCTAGGAATCTAACTTTCCAACAACATATTTTCGATAATGAACGTTAACCAGTTCGAAATTAAAAACTGATCCGTGCGTTTCAAAAAACGTATTTCATTTCTCAAGTTTGTTTCGCACGTACGGCTATGACACAATTCCTAAAGAACCACAACAAAACTGAATAAAATCACAGAAAAACCATGTAATTATTGGGTAAGGTCATTCCGGTTATTTTACACTCGGCNGAGATACTGATGAGAACAAATGTACAGGGTATCTTAGAATTCTCTCCTTAAAATCAAAGGTTATTGATAATTTCCACAGATGAAGATAAAGCAAAAGATTATTTTGTACAACGTATCAAATAAGAAATCGAAGAGTTGAAAAATGTAGGTACTTTTCAAATTGACACGTAAAAAAACGTAGAGAAGACAAAATTGTGGGAGTCGCTGTCTAACTCAAGAACATGAAATATTAGTGTGTAAAATCAAGAAAAAAATGAAATAATAGGTGGTGTACTACCTATAATGTTGTTAGTTTGCTTGTTTTTGCCGAGCATTTCTGAAAATTGGTGTCAAACGTTTTTCGGATTCACGAGGTCCAAAAAAGTATCTGATCTTCGTTCCTCCACAGACTCGAAAGTTTGCCTTCATTATTACAAGACGTAAAGTAAAAAGATCCGAAAATGTCTCCAAAGCAGCTGTTGGAGTGATTTTCATTGCTCCTGTTACTCCCAAGCAGCTTGCTTAGTTCGTTGATAGAGGTCGTTGGTTTATTCTTTGGCTATCAGACCCATAAATGCATGAGTTCAACCACTAGGGTGTAGAGCCAATAAATACATCATGCTATAGAGTTTGTGATGCTCAGTTTGTTCACTCTCTAAAGATTTTCAAAATTGAAAATTCAATTTTCGTTACTAATTTTCATTCTTTCAATTTTTTCCTTGTTAATCATCCTGTGTATGTTTTTATTAGATAAAGAACTGCTATTATTGATTTGAATCAATAATTATAACATCTGTTTACCATACAGCAGAGAATACGCATTTGTTAAAATCAAACAACTCTTTTTCCTTTTTTCCCATAGACAATGAGACTTTTAAATTATTTTAATGGAGAATATGAAAGCGCGACGATAAAAATGCATCATAACTCATACACCCTCCCTTTGATTACTCACCGGGGAACGAATACTCCTATTTCCTTCGCCAATTGTTGTTCCAACTCTCGCAGGGCCGTTGAAAAAATCCTACTAATTCATTATTGTCGCAGGCAATGCGATATTCCGTGACATAAAAAATAAAATGCACACAGTGAAATTGTTAAAAACATAGCCTTGGTGACCGATCTACATGCACAGTACGCGCTGTAGATTATTTAGATTAAAATATAACATTTATTGTCGAGATGATTAAAAATTTAGCGGCTTCAATTATCTCGCAATTGCCACGCAAATAACGAACAGAGTGAATTCGTAAGAGATGACACGATTTTCCAGGTTGTAAATCATGCTTGACTAAATCAAATTATCTAAAGTTCTAAAGGAACAATTCGTTCAGACA